AGCAATAATGACTGCCTGGGGGAGGAGCTCCACAGACCCAGACCACCCAGACCAGTTTGAAGTCAACTGCCCCACCCCTTAAGTGTGTAATACATTATTAGCTGTAGTCACCAAGCTGTATAGTAGGTCTCCAGCACTTAGTCATCTCATAACAAAGTGTGTACCTTCAACTAACAAAGATCTTATGATTCAAGTCAACATTTACACAACAACACATATTTGCCGTTTGTGTCAGCCCCCGCCTTGAAATTTGCTCAGAGCAGATCTTAAGTGTTCTTAACACACACACACAACTATTGAGGTGATGGATATGTTAATTAGCTTGATTGTGGTAATCATTACACAATATATATCAAAACAACATGTTGTACATCTGCTATGGTCTGATATTTGTGTCCCCCCGCAAATTCATGTGTTCAAATCCGAGTGCCCAATGTGGTAGTATTAGGAGGTGGGGGCTTCATGCTTACATCATGAAGATAAAGCCCTTATGAATGGGATTAGTGCCCTTGTAAACGAGAGCCCAGAGGGCTAGCTTGCCTCTTCCGCTGTGTAAGCTTACACCTAAGAAGGCACAGTCTGTGAACTAGGAGATGGGTTCTCATCAGACACTACATCTGCTAGTGCCATGATCTTGAACTTCCCAGCCTCCAGAATTGTGAGAAATAAATGTTTGTTGTTTATAAGACACCCAATTTCTGGCATTTTTTGTCATAGGAGCCTGAATGGACAACACCTTAAATATGTACAATTTTTATTTGTCAACCACACCTCAATAAAGCTGGAAAATAAATTTAAAAAAAGAACTTTGAAGGTATGTGAATAGGCTTCAACAGACTTAATCTCAATTTAAAAGAAGGCCAATAAGTATATTAAGTATTTTTTAAAGAATGCGATAACAACTTGTTTTGTTGTAAGGATTATTGTATTTGAAAGAATATTATTCTATACCATGCTGTACAGACATTAATAATAATTGTTATTGTGTCATTCTCCCTAAAGCAGAAGTCCTTCTGTGAGCTCAGAACTGAATTCTAGTCCTGGCTCCATTTCATAACGTCATTTAATCAATCATTTAATATCGGTAAGTCTCATTAATCTCTATCTGCCTAGCCCATGTAGTTAAAAAGACTAAATGAGATAGCATAAAACGGTAAAGGTTTTGACCAACCCAATTATTTTAAAATTGTATCTATATTATAATTTAAGAAGCCTAGCATCTCCCTTTCCCTTAATTTCAAGCTCCAATTTATCTGCCTTTCTCAAGCCACAGGCTGCTGGGGCCTGTGGGCAGTTGGGTTTGAATGAGGCCCTGAATTCTTTGGAAGTCACAGCTCAGGGGGCTGCCATAAGGGCTGTTCTACTGTGCACATGTCCAGCTCCTAGATGTGTGTGTAAGGAGGAAGGGGTGGGATGGTGAATGGGCAGGAAAGTAGCTTGAAAGATACTTGCCCCCAGACATCTGTGGAATTCTCAGTGAAGGAATTGTTTTAGCACTGTATGGAAGCCTGGAGATCTGCAGGCCCCTTAGAGCTAAAAAAAAAAAAAAAAAGGGTTGTAGAGCTTATCCCCAAGATGAAACTTCCCAGAGCGATAAGGGAGCAGGAAGACTTCCTCCAGGTCCTTTGGTAAGTGCCAAGTAGCCTGCTTCTTTCCATAGATACCATTGGCCCCTGGGGCATAAGCATCACTGGGCCTTCCACTGTTGTTTCACTGCCATCATTTAGAGTACTCTGAAAACCAGACTTGAGCTTCACGTGGACCACTGAGAAAAATAGCTGCTAAGATACCCCCAGCCAGAGAAAAGAAGTTCAGTTAGGACAGATAGGTTGCATATCCAGCAAAATAGAACCATTCGAGGGGCTCACTCTCACACTTACAGATCCATTACACCATGCTGCCTGGACTTCTAACTGCTAGTGTCTGCATTTCTTTCCAAGAGGGCTTTTTCTGGCTCATGGGGCAGGCTGGGGTGTAAGCTGCAGGAACATGCCGTAACCAAGGACAATGGAAGTTAGTATATAAATACCCCATCTTCTTCACCCCTTCAGTAGGATAACTCTGCAGTGTATGTTTTACCCTGGTCTCCAGAATTCTCCAGCATGATCGGCTCCAATTACCCACAGTGCTAACTTCCTTGATAATAATCCATTTTTTGGCTTTCTTTCCTTTCTGACTCACTTCCCTGCTCTGCTACCATTTTTTCCTGGATCACCTCCCACATAAACTACTTGCTTTCAAATCCTTGTCTCAGGGCCTGCTTCTTAGGAGACCCAAACTAAGACTTGTAGTGTGCCAGGAGGATTGAATAAAGCAAACAGAATACTCCTGCCTGTGCTCCCCTACTTGACTCCTAGAACACTTCCAGTTTGGTCTGGAAGGATTTTCTCTTTTGAGAATTTGACCAGCTGGAAAGAAGGACCTACAGATACTGATGTCATGTGTTCCCAACTAACAGCCCAGCCAGATCACCCTACAGAGAAGTCCTCAGGAAACAAGTTCCACCTTCATGCTGGAAGCTTCCAATCAGCTTTTATAGCACTTAACTCCAGTTTTTTAGTTATGTACTTTTTTAAAAGTTTTATTTTTATTATTTATTTGAGAGAGAGAGAACACACGAGTGGGGGGAGGGGCAGAAGGAGAGGAAGAAGCGACTCCCCACTGAGCAGGGAGCCCGATGAGGGTTCAACCCCAGGACCCGGAGATCATGGACTGAGCGGAAGGCAGACACTCAACCGACTGAGCCACCCAGGTGCCCTTAGTTATGTACTCTTTTTTTTTTTGCTGTTGGAGACCCTTTTAATATGGGCGCTCAAGGCCTGGGCAGAGTGGGGAGTGCCCTGGAACTGGGCAGGCAGGCTAAGTGGGTGGGTTGTGGGCCCACACCTGACCCCAGGAGGGGATGTTGGGTGGTGGGGGCTGGCCCAGGCATGCCAAGGGGAGTACCGGAAGGGTGACTGAGGCAGGCAGACCCACCAGGGCCTGTAGGCCAGCCCTTGAGAAGGTATCTAAGCCAGGTGGTGAGTGCCTAGGCCAGAGCCTAGCCCAGGGAAGCAGGGTTTGGGCTGGTTGGGGGCTCCCAGAACCTAGGAACTGGCATCACTAGGGGCCTCCCCAAGCTGCTGCTGGAACTCAAGGCGTGTCTGCTGGTTGGACTTCAAGCAGCTCCAGGAGGTGGGCATGGAGGTGGTCGTTCTCCTCTAGGTGGCCTAGACAGGAGTTGATCTGGTCCAACATGGAGTTGATGGCAGCATATTCTGCTTTCCCGAAGCCGTCGTCCTCGCCTTCTGCGCCCGCCTCCACCGGCACGCCCAGGTCCCCGTTGGGGCCCAACATTGCAGGCTCGGGCGCCACGAGGGCCGCACGATGGTAGAACCCAGTGACCCTCGCGCCCGCATCCGGCGCCAGGCCCTTAGTTATGTACTCTTACGTATGAGCGAATAGTTGAAGACTACCAGAAAACTTCCAGTATGATAGATGGAGACCAAATTAATAGCAAAAAGCAGCTGAAAGGAAGAAGAGACTATTCAAGAAGAAGAAAACTTTAAAAATGTGTGTGTGTGGTTTTTGTTTTGTTTTTTGTTTTTTTAGAGAGGGAGAGAGGGACAGAGAGAGAATCTTAAGCAGGCTCCATACCCAGGACAGAGCCCAGTGCAGGGCTAGACATCACAACCCTGAGATCATGACCTAAGCTGAAATCAAGAGTCAATCACTTAACCAACTGAGTCACCCAGGTGCCCTTAAAAATGTATTGTTAATATCCTCACAGGGAGTAGAAATCTATGAAGCAAAGCTATGACACCATAGCAAAGAGACATTTGAAAAACAGAAAAATAAAAACAGTATAGATGGCTGGAAGAAAAATTTGAGGAGTTCTCCAATAAAGAGCAAAAAAACAAAGATGGAAAACAGGAGAGTAAAATAGCTGGTAAAAGGGCTCTTATATCAAGTTTGGGCTTGAGTATACATTAGAAGCTGATGTAGGGGAGCTATCAGAAGATAAAAGATGGGAGCCTGTTCATATCTGAACAAAAGGAAATAAAACTTGGGCAGTTGTACAGGCCAAGAATGGAGGCAGAGGTCCTGCTTAGGCAGTTCTTGCATTAATGAGAACTAATGAGCACCTGATGTAAAGACAGAGGACATTTGGACAGAAATTAAGAAAAAGATGAGAGATTAAATGGTGGAACGAACTGAAGTTGTGACTGAGCAGGTGGGTGTGTGTGGTGGGGGGGTGTGTGGATCTGTTGCAAAAGGTTAAAGAACGGATGGATCTAGATTTTTCTGCAAGATCCTAAATGTACTGGGCTCCATTAAGCAAGATGACGAATCAGCGAGTACCAGTAGGTTGGAGTAGTGTGTGTAGGAGGTAGAATGCAGATTCCCAAGTTCAGGTTCAATTAGTATTTTCTCACTAGGTGTCAGATATTGGGATAAAGTTTTGTCTGGGTCGCCTGAGGAAAGGCAGAGGAAAGTCACCAGAAAAAAGACAACCCCCTTCAGGTGTTTGTAGTTAAGGAGGTACAGTCCTTGGCCTGGAGGGGATGGGGGGCGACAATGAATGTTTGTGCAGGTTACTTGGTGACAGGAACTGTAAATGCACGCTCGCGGAGGACCGCCTCTGGGGGTCTGCCCTGTAGAAGAACGAGAGCCTCCTTCGTCACCGAGAGGACGCTCAGACCACGCCGAACCCTAGGATGTTGGTCTCGGAGTCTCTCAAGAAGATCTGAATCCTCTGGACTTCCTAGTAGTGGAAAGGAGGCATGGTGCGCATGCGCATGACCACCCCAGGGCTCAATCAAAGGCGGCGGGAAGTTGGTTTTCTGAGTAGCAACTGAGCTGCTTGAAGACCGATTGGAGATGACAGACCAATAAACAAACATTTCATTGGTTTAGCGTGCTCAGCCTCCCGATTCTCCAGCTTCCTATTGGACTTTTCAAGCAGAGCAGGGGCGTGACTCCCGGGGCTCCTCCCCGCGCTCCGGCCCAGCTTCGGGGTCCGGGGCTGAGGGAGCGGGACGGAAGTGAGTGGGTCCCGCCCCTTCCCCCCTCGTCTTCGCTGGAGCCGCCGCCGCTACCGTCGCTGCCCCCTCTCCGGCGAGCCGGAGTCTCCGTGCAGTACCCTTGGTCCCCGGCCGCGCGGAGCCGGGATGCACTGCTCCTGCTGTGGGTCCTCATCATGGAGACCAAACGGGTGGAGATTCCCGGCAGCGTCCTGGACGATCTCTGCAGGTACCGCGGCGCTGCCCCGGCCCCCTTCGTCCCCTCCTCGTTTTCTCTCACTCTGGCCGACCACGGAGGCCTCCGCATTTCCTCCCCCCCGGCCACATCCTTGTCCTCGCTTTCCGGTCCCGCCGCTGCTCGCTTTCCCCGCTCGACCCTTCTCTCAGACGACACCACCCCTGTCTTTCCGCCGCAGCCTCCCGGTTTCTCACGGCCCCTCCGTCCTTCCTCACGGGGCACCGGAATTTCCTCATTTTCTTAGTTCCTCAACTCTTCCTTTGCTGCAAGTGAAGCCGCTGCGCCAAACCCTGGGTCTGGAGCGTTTTTCGGCTGCCCCCTCCCCCTCTCATTTTTTTTTTTTTTTCCTGTCTCTGACTTTTGTAGACCGTTCCCCCCCCTCCTCCCTTTTCTCATGCCTCAATTCTGTCCAAAGACCCCAAGGTTTTGAGTCTTAGTAGTCCCACGCCCCCGGACCTACGCAGGGAAGCAGTTTCAAACTTAACCTTTCGCCCGTGTGTTCTCACACGTCCGTGGCATTTTTTAAATTGCTATAAGGAATTACTGTCTTGTTCGTCCCCAAACTTATTGGAGGAGGGGGGTGGGTAGAGAGTTGCTTTTTTTTCATTCTTTAATTTTCCTTAAAGGAAATTCTCAACCGCTGGGTTTTAACGCATGGTATACTTTTGAGAAATTTTTTACTTTCTTCCCTCTTCAGATAGCCAAACTTAGGGAAAATGGACTTAAAATATTTTCTTTTCCCGAAGTGAAATTTTTGATGCAGTAATACCCTGGGTTGTCGCCGGCTTAAGTGGATTGTGAAATAAATAAGTGAGTAAAAGGCTCTGATAAAATAACACCTTTTAAAGTACATTTACTGCGTTTATGTATAGAAATCTGACTTTTAATAGTTGTGTCGCATTCACGCCCCCCCTTTTTTTTAAATGGGAAGGAAAGAACTAATACTTGTGGAGGTACTGTTGTGTGCCAGGCATTGGGTGCTCCCTTCACATATATCATTTTATTTATTCCCCGAAACAAGTCCTATTTGGTGCAGTTATTTTCACTTTCATCTGACAGAGTCGGTTTGTAATTTACACAAGGTCACATTTCTCATAATTCAGAAAATCAAGATTTGAAACCTAGGCCTTTTTCTCTACAGTGCCTGTGCTTTTCCCCCTATGCCAGGTAGACGTTACAGAAAGTCAAGTCTAACATTTTAAACCTCACAAAAGTACATGTAGATAACTATATAGACTAATTTTTGAACTAATAAGAATTAATGTCGCTGTACTTCTTTGGTGATGATATGATTTTAATTTTTGGAATATGACCGATTCAAACAAACCACTTAAAATGCACTTATTTTCTGTGATCCCAATTTCATAAGAAAAGATTTAATGTATGTATGTCTGTGTGGATAAATGACTGGATGAACATGTACAAGAAGTGAGATTATCAAGACTTTTTAAAGGATGTGTGTTTTTATAGGTAGAAAAAAGGTAAAGATGGGTGTGTTTTTTTAAAAGGTGAGCATTAATTATGTATGGATTACTAGGGATACAGGTTAATAAAAAGATGGGTAATCTCACACTTTTTACAGGCATCTGAAATAATCTTTTTACTAGTATGGGTTTATTTTGTATACTACATAGGATTACATCATTGAAAGAAGTCCTAGCAACCGTTATGAAGGTGATTGATTTTATGTGGAACCTGTTTACTCACAAAATTGTTGTGTTTTGTAAACAATACGTTAAACATCTGTTGAGTGTTAAAGATTCTTGGTTTTCCAGTGAGTTTAAGCAATTTTTTATACAAATCTTTTGGAATAGGGTAACATTTTTTTTTCCTTTAAGAAATGAGAGTAACATTTTTGTAATTACTGTGTTTTGGCTATATAAATAAGGATTATATGTTTAAATATTAGGGCTAGCTACTTGACTAATAAACCAAATAATCATTTCTTAAAAAACTTAAAAATCATGCAATTTTAAAATTAGTGTTTATAATATTTTTGTTGGTAAATTTAAAGAATTTTAATGTGAACAATACATGGTTTTATGATTGTGGGTTTTTTAAGAAATAAATTTACTAAGAATTTATGTTTAATTTCTATAAAAATAAAGCTTAATGGAAAAAGTTTAATTTTTCTGCTCTTTTAAGTGCCTCTCGATTTATGTGTTCGGCTTTGACTCGTTTTTATATTTTCCCCAATTCTGTTGTTTATTATTAGTGTATTTAAGAAGTTTTTTGTTTTGTGTTATTGATTTCTGATAAATTACATATTCCTGCTAATCTTGTCTACTTCAGTCATTGACCATATAGTAATAATTTTTGGAGAAATGTAAAACTGAGAATGATTTTGATGTGAAAAATTATAGGGGGAGACTTACATTCTCAAGAAGTGACTTTATAACTGTTAGACTGCTTATAACCTAAGACATGGAATGTTATTTTGCAGATGGTTTCATATGCAACATTTCATTTACTGGGATACCGTGTAGCCATTAGAAATTCCTAAGGCAGTTAGCAAACAGTAAACTGAAGGAAAATACTTGTGTCTTGAAAGATGGATACAGTATACTATTGAACATAATACTTAGTCATTTGATGCCTTTTGTTAAAACAGATTTTTTTAAATGTTTTGTGTGTGTGTGTGTGTGTGTGTGTGTATATGCACAAGGAAGTCTGAGAGCATATACACCAAACTGAAAAACACTGGTTATTTCTGGGTAGAATGAAATTAGAGGAGTGGAAGGAAAGACTGTCATCTAAAATGTTCTAGTGAACATTCTAGTAAACTTGTATGTAAAAAGTAAATCTGCCCCATTTTATGGTGATATTTTGCCTCTGTTGCACCATGATTTTTGACATTAAAAGTCGAAGAATTTTTCAATACCATTTAAATTAGCTTATTAAATACCTGAAAAGTATGTTTTTAAAGTAAAAATTGAAAACTGCAGCTTGTTTCTCTTTTAAAGAAATGCTTGGAGTTTTTTTTAAAGCCCCTTTAAGAATTAAATGGTGAAGCCACTCTAGTGTTAAAAGGAGAAAGGTATGTTCTGGCAACTAATGTTGCTGCTATTTTGGTGATTGTGTAAGCTAATCAAATAATTCTTGCTCATCTTCAGAAGAGGTTGCCATTTTAGTGTTCAATTCCGTAGCAGCTTTGTACTAATTGTAGTTCTGTTAATGTTCTATCTGTAGGAAAATTGAAAAGATGACATTTTGTGAGGTGGAGAAATTTTTCCCATAACAAATTATGGTGAAAAGCATTTTATTTCCTATATAGTACGTATACACACATATTTATTTATTTTTATTTTTTTATTTTTAGTAATCTACACCCAGTGTGGGGCTTGAACTCATGACCCCGAGATTTAGTCCTGTGCTCCTCCAACTGAGTCAGCCAGGCACCCCTGCACACACTTTTAAATCTTTAAAACAGATCAAAAACATTCATACAATGAAAGCATCGAAGTGTTATTTTCATGTATTGAAATTTCCTTTTTTTTTTTTTTGAGAGCTAGGGAGCTTGTGCTTGCACACAGCGCTGAGGGGCATGGGTGGGGGAGAGGGAGAGAGAATCCTTTTATATATACATATATATGTATATATATGTTTTATTTATTTGACAGAAAGAGCACAAGCAGGGAGAGCAGCAGAGGGAGAGGGAGAAGCAGGCTATCCACTGAGCAGGGAGCCCGATCGGGTCTCGATCCCAGGACCCTGGGGATCATGACCGGAGCTGAAGGCAGATGCTTAACGACTGAGCCACCCAGGTGCCTGAGAATCTTAAGCAGTCTCCGCACCCAGCCCTATGCAATGCTTGATCTCATGACCCTGAGATTATGACCTGAGTTGAAATCAAGAGTCCGTTGCCTGGTTGGCTCAGATGGTTAAGCGTCTGCCTTCAGCTCCGGTCATGATCCCAGGGTCTTGGCATCGAGCCCCCTCATCAGGCTCCCTGCTCAGCGGGGGGCCTGCTTCTTCCTCTCCTGCTCCCCCTGCTTGTGCTCTCTCACTCTCTGCCAAATAAATAAAATCTTAAAAAAAAAAAAAAAATCGGGGCGCCTGGGTGGCTCAGTTGGTTAGGCGACTGCCTTCGGCTTGGGTCGTGGTCCCGGAGTCCTGAGATTCAGCCCCGCATCGGGCTCCCGGCTCGGCGGGGAGCCTGCTTCTCCCTCTGACCCTCTCCCCTCTCATGCTGTTTCTCTCTCTCTCGCTCTCTAATAAATAAATAACTAAAATCTAACTAAAATCTTAAAAAAAAAATTCGTTGTTGCTTAACCAAGTGAGCCACCCAGGAGCCCTCCTTTTTCTTAAAGAAGTCAGCTTTTTTTTTTTTTTTTTGAAGATTTTAGTTAGTTATTTATTTGACAGAGTGAGCGCGCGTGAGCACGGAGAAGGGGGAGCGGCAGGCAGAGGGAGAAGCCGGTTCCCTGCTGAGCAGGGAGCCCGATGCAGGGCTCCATCCCAGGACCCTGAGATCCTGATCTGACCAAAAGGCAGACGCTTAACCGACCGAAACACCCAGGTGCCCCAAGAAGTCAGCTTTTAGTTGTTAAAAAGGTGTGCTCATGTGTAAGGTTAAAAAAAAAAAAAAAAAGTCGGAGAGTTCGGGTGAAGTTATAAAAGAAAAGCAACGGTCTTCTGCCCTACCCCTTTTTATCTCAGTTCTGCCCTCCAGACTTTTACCTGTTTTGTGTTGAATTCTCCTGGTAGATAATGTAGTATTTTAAAATATGCTTGGACTAGGTTCTCACTTTATCAACTTCAGATGTTAGATTGAGCATTTAGTTAACCTTGGTAGATAGGTGAGGGTTTAGTTTTATCAAAAGCCTAGTGATGCCTTTGCCCTACTTCCAATACAATTATATCACTATTTTAAATTGTTCTGTTGGTTACCTTTCTGCTTTATGAACTTATGGACAGTATTTTGAGTCTGTATTTGATAAGGTGGGGCAGTCAATGCCCCATCTTTTCTTCCTTTTCCTTCTTACACATTC